CAACTGAATGTCTCAAGATTTACGACTCTGACTCAAGACTCACGACTGCCTCTCAGGTGACTCGCTCACGTTCCCAACAAATCACAAACATCTGCATCTGCATTCATTCATTCCTTCATTCAGTGATTCATTCATCGCGCCGTACCGTACTCACACTCGCCTACTCACGAGTCACGACTGCGAAGAAAATTAGCTGTGCGCGCACGCACGCACAGCATGCTCGCTGCAGTGAACACGTGACTGTGCAAGATTGGCAAAACTGACACAGCTCAAACTCCACCAAGTCCGCGGACCTGCTTTCCCTTGAAGTGTTATACTCGGCGCGGGAGGGAGTCATCACGCACAACAGAAGTGAACTCCCTCTCACATTCGTGATTCTTGATTTGCATTGGTCGGCCGTGCCAGGAAGCGATTCTGCGCTGTTGTAGAGCTGCCATCGCCCACCACCTCATCCTCCCTGCCTGCAGATCGAGCCCACCCCACCGTAAGCGCATAGAGGCCACAATATTCCCAGGTCAACAAGCTTCGTGCAGCGCATGTAAGCCACAGCTTCCATGCTCTTGCGCACGTGAAATGTCTTCAAGACCGCCGATTCACGGAGCTGCGACCACAGCCAGCTTGGTCTCTGCCACGCTGGGCAGAGAATCTAGCAGCAGCAACAAGGCGCAGCACGATGCGGCTGCCTCAACCTCGACGGCGTCAGCGGCCAATCCACCCAGAGGCAAGCGGATAGTCATCAAGCTAGGAACATCCTCCATCCTCTCGTCCCTCACCAATCAGCCCAAGCTCTCCGTCCTCTCCTCCATCGTGGAAACATGCGCGGCGTTACGCAAAGACGGACATTCGGTCGTCATCGTCTGTTCGGGAGCCATCGGAATGGGAAGATTGAGAATGGGGTTGAACGAGAAGCCAAAGAGCGTAGGGGAGAGGCAGGCGCTTGCCGCGCTAGGTCAGGTTAGGCTCATTGCGCTTTGGGACAGCCTGTTTGCGCAAGTCGGCATCAGCGTTGCGCAGGTTCTGCTCACCAGGAACGATCTCGGCGATGTGAGTGTCGGTGCTCGTGTCTCGCGATGCTAAGCCGGCTCTCGCTCACACGCGCTTTTGCGCGCACTCTTGCGCATCCCCCTATTCCCCCCTTCGTGCAGCGCCCTCGCTTCGAGAATGCCAAGACGACGCTTTCTACGCTGCTCTCTTTGCCCTTCTCCTCCATCCCCATCATCAATGAGAACGATACCGTCTCAGTGTCGGAACTCAGATTTGGCGACAATGACACTCTCAGCGCTATCGCCGCTGGCATCGTGGATGCCGACTACCTCTTTCTCTGCACAGACGTAGACGGGCTGTACACTGGCAATCCGAACTCCAACCCCAATGCGAGGAGGCTGGGAGTGGTGCGGAACGTGGCTTTGGCACGAAAGGCCGGTGCGTATCTGAGCGCGTTGCAGATGGCAAGACCTGAACAAGCGTGCAGACTGATGCCATCGAGTCACCTCGGATTTCCCCTTCTTCCTCAGTGAGCGTCGACACACCAGGCTCAAATTTTGGCACTGGCGGAATGCAGACGAAGCTCATTGCTGCCGAGCTCGCAACAGCGGCCGGCGTAGCCACAGTGATCCTCAATGGCAACCAGCCAACAAATATCTTGTCCGTCGTTGCTCGTGGTCTACCTGCTCTTGACGCAGATCAGCGTTTGCCAAACAGCGACCAGGGCATGGTCTCGTCCATCTCTTCGTTGCTGGATGCGGAAGAGCTCTCCAAGGTCGGCTACCCGCCTATCCTCGACCCACCGCACACACTCTTTCTGCCCACCTCTGAGCCTTTGGCGCAGCGCAAGTGGTCGTTGTTGCACGCGCTGCATCCAGCGGGCACACTCGTCATCGATGAAGGAGCTTTCGCGAGGATATCCAAGCCGGAGAGTGGAGGCAGATTGCTGCCAGCTGGAGTGGTAGGAGTGGAAGGCACTTGGGAACGCATGCAAGCTGTAAGGATCGTCTTGCGTCGACATCGCATCGCTTCGAGCGCAGAAGCGACGGGCACCAACGTCGAGCGTGATGCGCTGCACCATTCGCAAGCGATTCAGGAATCCATGTCCGCTGCGGCGTTGGCTCGACGGGGCTTGACGACCTTCATCAAGAGCTCCGATGGTAGCGGTGCTACTACTCCGATTCATCTCGCAGGCGAGGATCAACACGCTCACCTGGCTGAGCCTGTTCTCACTAGAGACGCGCCCTCCGAACTGGACTGGGAACTGATCGAAGTCGGCAGAGGCCTGGCGAATTACAGCTCCATCGAGTCGGAAAGGATAAAGGGTATCAAAAGGTGAGCCTGGCACGGGTCCACGTCCGGTGACAAGGCTTGCGCGAACGCGCGCTGATGCCTGATGAGAACACACACACACACAGCTCGCAAATATCAACCGTGCTCGGCTACGCAGACAGCAGTTACGTGAGTTCTGAAAAGGCACGTCCGTCGACCCCAACATTGCCAAGAGGCTCACCGCCGATTGAACTTCCAACCCAGATCGTCGATCAGCTCGCGCTGATGCCTACCGAAGGAGCTCCGTCTGCACATAGGTCGGCTACAAAAGGTCGCGGTTGACATGAGAAATGATATTGCAAAAGTGTGAGAGAAGCCTGGGAGGTATGGATGCGACGGCGCGTCTCCAGTGTCGCGTCAGCTGTTGCATCGATTCGAAAGTCGATATCTGCATCGAGAGATTCGTGATTCGTGCTATGTGGATGAGACATGCACAAATGGCCCCTTAAACGACCAAGTGTTTGAAGTTGGCCTTGACGACCCACTTGCTAGTGGCCTTCTTGCCCTCTCTCTCAGTGTACTGGTCAACAGCAGCTTCGATGGCGTTTCGAGCTACGCCGGCAAATTCTCCACGCAGAGATTCGATCAGGAGAATCTTCGTCTGCGTGCGTCCCTCGACGGCCTTGAGCAGAGCGGGAATGCTCTCGCTGGGAAATGCGCTTTTGACTACCTTTGCTGCTGGGGCTGGAGGTGTCAGGACGCCGGAGGCGTTGGGCGTCAAGCCGCTATTGGTTGGTTCGGTGACCGCTGCTGGATTGAGTGCTCTTTGCAAGATGCCAAGCGATGCCTGTGTCTGCATGGCTACAGCCTTGGATGGCGAAGATGCGGTAACAGTGGCTGTCTGGGCTTTGCTTTGTCCAGGCTCTGCTGTCGCCTGCACATACGTGAAAGGATTGAGACCTGGGTACGCGCCTGGAACACATCGCACGCACGAACTCTGTCAGCACAGCTCGAGCGCAATGTTGTGCCGCAGGGCACTGCTCACCATTCAGGAATTCCATTTGATACGACTTGAATGCATCGTGTGAAGATTCGCCAAGGGTCGATTCCCAGTGCGGCCCCATGGAGATTGGCACAAGCTTCGAAGTGAATCTGCGGCCAATCGGCTTGACTCGCTTCTTCTTAACTTGCAGTTCGTTGATAGCAGTGGCAGGGCGCGTCGAGAGCGGCGGTGTTCCGAGCGCAGAGTCAATTTTGTGCGATGCGGAGAGTGCGTTTCCGTCTTTGTCCGTCTCGACGATGTCAGAGTGTCCATCTTCGCCTTCGGGCTCCTCTTCCTCCTCGAGATCATCCACAAGCCAATCGTCCATTTCCGAATCGCCGTCAGACCCACTTCCTGCGTCGTCCTCTTTGTCGTTGTCCACTTCCTCGCCCTCTATCGCTCCAACATCTTCCCACTCGGCGTCGCTATCATACGTATAGTCTAGCGCAACAGGATCCTGTCCGAAGGGGTTGCGTGCGCCGACTAGGTTAGAGCTGCGAGTCCATGTGCCTGGCAGGCGCGAAACACTCCGGGTCAGTGTGATACATGGTGAGCCAAACGAGTTCTCTCGCAATGACGCACCGAACCAAGCTGGTCGTCTGTCGCTCTCAAACTGCAAGAACTTGACGGGGACATTCCTGCGGTTCGACAATCGCTTCAGACTGCTACGCGCATCCTCTTCCGAAGCGCCTCCGACAAGGCCGGCTTCGTTGACGAGGCGAAGCGTCTCGCGGACGTTGGCGCGTGGGTGAATGCCTCTGCGCCGACGTCGCGCCGGCACGCTTGAGCGACTATCGCTCGCCGAGCCGCGTACACATTGGACCAAGAGCTCTGCGCGAAGATGTAGATGTCCAATGTAAGCGCGTGACTTGCTTTCAGCAGACGCGCTCACTCACCCCCACAGGTGGGCTGTCCAATGCCAATGTTGTCAAGCAGGTCAAGACTCGCCGCTTTGTGGAATCGATTGACGGGAGCTATGTCCTTGTATTCGCAAGGCAAGAATGTGCGCTCATATTCGGTTTGGTCCTTCATCTCGGGCTGCCTTGAATGCTTGATAGGCGAAGGCGATCTTCCACGAGCCAAAAAGCCAGACATGAAAGAAGCGGCCTTTTGCTTCATGTGCTCTTTCTTGGCCAATAGCGCCTCCCTGGCCGCCTTTTTCTCTTCCATTTCCTTTCGCTTCAGCTCGCGCTCGCGCTTCTTTTCCTCTCGCTCGGCCTGCTTCGCCAGCGCTTCCGGGTCCAACACCTTCACCTTTTTTGGCTCTGCGGCTGCTTTGCCTGCGTTCGTCTTTTGCTTCTTCACAGGCGAACCATTTGAGGATGCGCTACCGATGCCAGAATCCTGCTCCTCATCGCCTTCCTCTTCAATCTCTATCGCGGTAGAAGCGTCCCTGCCAGCGCCACTCTTTAGTAAGGGCGTCTTGGAAGCCGACGATTCAAGCGCTGAAGAGACGTTTGGGATCTCTTTTTGGGGCTCTGGCGCCGCACTTGACTGGTCAGCTTGTGCGGCTTTGCCAGGCAGAGGTCTTCTGGTCGCCTTCAAGAGGGTATGCCGCTCTTCCTCCGGCATCGCTTCCATGATCCGCTCAATCTCGGGTTTAATGGATGCGAGGCGTTCTTCTCGCCTGGCGAGCAGCTTTTCCCGAATCTCGCTCGGCAGCATGGCATCGTCCCGAACTTCCCACCGCCACATTTGCATGCCCTGATGATGCCGCCGACGAGTATGAGCATGGCTCAAGCAGACGCGCAACGCAAACTCGCGACTCACTGGCGGGACCGAGTCCCTCCCCAAAGGATCGCTCTCTACTCCGTAGTTGACTCTATCAGCGACGCTCAGGATCGCCTTGTGGACTGCCTCAGACGTAAGCGTGGCTGTGGACGAGCATGATGGAGCTTGGTCATGAGTGACATCATCGGCATGCGGACGGCCTACCGCTCCGACTTACGCAGACTCTTTGCACAATCCAATGGTGCGCTGGTGACGTCGTCGCTCGAGGGAAGAATGATCTTGACTACAGATCGCACTAGATCTACCAAAGTCTTGTCGCTGCGAGGTGCAGGGTGAGCGATACGGGTGAGACTAGACTATGCAACATTTGGTGCGAGGAGCTTGCGCCACTCACGACTCTTGGGCTAGCTTTGCGATGACTGGCAGATGCTCATCAGGAAGTCGCTCGACTGGCCCGGTGCAGCTCTGCAAGTACGCGTTGAGGTTGATGCGGCCTACGTGCAGCGAAGCGGGTTCGTAAGCGCCTTGACACTGCACAGTCGATGAGCCAAAACATACCCTGCAATGTTGACATCTGGTCCTTTGCGTCCAAGATCTTTTGCTTGATGATGAGCTGGTTCCCCTTGAGCGTGACTAGCTGCTGATTCTTGCCCTTGTTGCCGGCGCCCTTCCGTGTGCCCACGGCAGGCAATCTGGAAGGCCCCGCTGTGGCATTGGTACCGAAGACGTCGACGCGAGCATCGCTTGGGCGTGCCTGCTGTTGGTGAGCAGCGCCATCTAGATCGGCACCAGCCGGCTTGGCCTTCTTTGTCGATGGCCCTTTTCGAGGCGGCGTGTCGAGTTCAAATTCGGCGTCGAGATGCTCGACCCCCGCCTCTGCTTTGCGCTTCGTAGCGGAAGGCGCATCCACCATCGCTGCATCATCCCCATCTGTCGCAGTCGTAGCCTTGGCCGAAGTCACTGTCCCGAGTGCGCTCGCGCTGGATGCCGAGGTCAAGGGCAATGGCGTCGTCGCCATCAGAAAACTTTCCATCGATGCAGTGCGGCGCACTGAGCGGCTCTCTCTGCAGCGGTTGGCACGCGCCTGCCAAGGGAGTCGGATGTCTTGTCTTGCGAAGCAAGCAGTGATGAACGTGCGATGGGACGCGGTGCGAATGCTGAGGTGATCGTAAAGAGCTTGGTTGTTACGAGGGGCACGGTCGAGTTCCTGATAGCCTCCAAGTACGCTCGCGTCCTTGATGCCGCTGCCGCTGCCGCTGCGCTCTCACCCAAATCACGAATCGCGATCGGCCTCGCGCGACGATGCAATCACGAATGCAGCGCGTCCGACGCGTTGCACTTTGGCACGCGTTTTTGGCGCTACGCTTCTTCCCGGGCGAGAGCAACACCGGCACTTGATTGATCATGCAAAAAAAATTGATATTCCAGAATACACCAATACGGACCGCACAGTCAAATTACTAAGTGACCATTTTGAATGTCTTTTTGAGGGCTTGCATCCAGCACGCGCAGACGAAAGCAACCTGCACTCACCAACCACTCAAGACTCAAACTCTTGACTGAGCACTCTGACTGCGTGAACTTGCTTCACTCCTTACAAATCGAATGAATATTGAGCTCCATCTAGTACTCGCACGCTAGATCCTAGAGCGCTCCAGTGCAGCGTGCACTCAGATTGTTGGGGATACCATCACGGATAGAGTTACGGCGAGTCCAGCATGTCAAAGGTACCTACCTACCTACGCCATGCAGTCATAAGCCAAGGGTCAAAGTGGGAGGGGAGGATCATTGACAGTCACGTGATCGAATTTGAATCTTGAATTTCCGTCTTGAATTTCCGGTGGCCGTCTCCACGCCCTCGTCTTGCAGCAGGTGTTGCGAGATGTATCAAGAAGGGGCGCCTACTGCATCCGCGCGCGCGCCTGTGACGCGCTTCCATCATCATCAGCAGCTAGCCTGCTGCAGCATATGCTGTGCTGCTGCTGCAGCTGTAACATTAAATGATGAAGCTGCCGCGCGCTATACAAGTACTCTGGCGCAAGAAAGGCGCCCCACCAAATCAATCACGCTCGTGTGCATCGCACGCACCGCGCTCGGAAAGGTTGGCACGCATGCATGCGCGCACGCACGCACGCCTGATGATGCCTGCCAGCTGCTTGTGCCTATTAATACATCAGCTGCTGTCTGCTGCGCGTCAACCTTAGCAGGCCGACCATCACGTCGCCGTTGACCCGTACAGTCTGATGAGTCTCCACCTACGCATGAGGTCTCGGTGTTGTCTGCTCACGCATTCAGATCGCAATCACGTCTACAACTGATGACCTACTGCAGAAAGTTCAACGGTCCCTCATCAAATCACGCTTGCAAGCCACTCGCGGCGCAGCCCAGGCAGCTGAGCTTAGCAGAGCCTCACCGGCATCGCACTTTCTCGACTTTTGCTCCGGCTTGGCGCGCACCGAATACCCGCCGAGCGATCGTGGTCAATCCCAGCAGCTACATCCGTAGCTGATACCTGTGCGCGGCCCCATTCCGAGGGCGGAATCCGTCACAATAAGCCGCGACTGAGCGTGCACAGCCATTCTGATTGCAACCCTCACATCATCGCATCCAGCATCGGCACTCGCAGTCGACGCGAAGCTTCTCGCACGCCCAAGCAAGACACCTCTTCAGACAGGGCCTTTCCACCTCGCGGACTCAACTTTCTGGGGCAGCGCATTCTCCCGCACACACGTATCACCAGGGCCACGCAACGCGAGCAAATCGACGCTTGCATTCGGAGAGGGCTCGACGGTCCAGGACACGTATCGAAGCGGGGTCTGCCAAGAGAAGCGCTTGAGGCACAGGCAGTCTCAATCGCGCGCATCAGCATGGCTCCGGATCCTGTGAGTGAAGCTTGCGCGCAAGCGGGAGCGGACGGACGCCTGGCCGGATATGAGCTGCAGAAAGGCAACGACTTACCCATCAATTCACCGCTTACCCTTCCCTTTGCGCGACTCGTATCCGCACGTCCGCAGATCAGAAGGAAGCTGGTCATTGTTGGAGATGGCGCTTGCGGCAAGACAAGCTTGCTTTGCGTCTTTGCCGTTGGAGACTTTCCACACGAATATGTGAGTTCAGACAACTGGCCTGCGACGCGCGAACAGGGTACGAAAGTGTGGAAGGATGCTGGGCCGCTAGAGTTGCACCTCACAAAGCGCTCAATGGCAGCTGCGAGGTGCAGAAGCACGGTCCAGTCGCTGCCGTAGACCTTTGTGTAGGGCTGCCAACATCGTAGCCCCCTCTTTGCTGAATGATTGAGCAACACGTCGGTCGCTTCTCTACCTTCGCCCGTCCACCGCGCCAGGAACCTAGTGAGTTTGAGATGCAGATCCCGCGAAACGACAGGCTCCTTCTGTGACTGAGCGTGTCACATCTTGTGTACCGCCAGCAATATTTGAAAATTACGTTGCTGAAATAAGATTGGATGGCAAACCGGTACAGCTGGCGTTGTGGGATACTGCGTGAGTCGGCTACGGGGTCCAAAGCGTCATCACCCGAAGGTCACTCTGATCAGACCTTGGATCTTCACTGCACGACGCGGACAGGGGTCAGGAGGAGTACGAGGTAAGTGGAGGTCTGGACGCTGCTTTATCGCAAGTGGCGTTCGGTCCCGTTGACGCTTCTCTGTCCGCAGCGCCTGAGGCCGCTTTCGTACTCTCAAGCACACGTCATACTCATAGCCTTCAGCATCGACACGCCCGACTCTCTCGACAATGTCACAGTCAAGGTGAGACGTCTTCGGACCGCTCGTCATCCGTTGCATTGCTGAGTTGACGCCGACATCACTTGCGCGCGCAGTGGATGGAAGAGGTACGGCAAATTTGCGGCCCTCAGGTGCCCGTCTTACTCGTAGGCTGCAAGAGGGATCTGCGAGATGAGGCGGAAGGGCGAGGAGGTGCTGGGAGCAGATTTGTGACCACAGCTCAAGTGAGTGAGCGAGGAAAAGTGGCTTTGCAGGTCGACTGAATCTTTGGTTGCAATGTCCACCTTCAGGGCAAAGCGATTGCCCAGCAGATTGGCGCAAGGTCATATCATGAATGCTCAGCGCTGAAGAATGATGGAGTGGACGTGAGTGGTTCACCTCACGGTGCATTGTCGCAAAGCGGCAATTAGTGTTGATGCGCTGTGATTGTTCATCACGGGACAGAACATCTTTGAGGCTGCCACAAGAGCTAGCATGCTCTTGCGTGGCCCCGGCGGCACTGGCAACGGCGGCGAGAGGCGGCACTCCAGATCAAAGTCCAAATCAAAAGGGGGCAAGTATGGCGACAAGGAGAAGGATGCTGGCGGTTGTCGATGCGTGGTCCTCTAAGAACGCGGCCAATCAATAGTACGCCGCGGAGGACGGCAGACTTCTGAACCTTTGCTCAGAAACTCCGCACCTTGGTATGCGCCTACTACTCGTCGCGAACGTCAATCTGCACGACAGCGTCGGTCATTCTCGCAAAGCTCCAAAGACTTATCAAATTGGCCGCTCTTAGAAGTTTTGTCACCCGCGGCCGCTTCACGCGTTTTCCGTGTCGAAGTTCGTGTTTGCTGTGGGCTCGTGCCAAAAGAAAGTTCTCAGCTTCTTCCGTCATGATCCTCAAACGAGCCTTATCCCTTCCTCGGTCTCCCTGCAAACTCTCTTCTCGCTCATCAGGTCCAAGCTCCGCGCCATCTCTCTGTGTTCGTGTTCGATGCCTCACACTCTCGCTTGGCGATCATGACTCTTTCCAATCGCTGCCCAAGCCAAAACGCACATTGTATTGCCACTTTCCCGACGATTCGGCGCCTCCCTCATAGCTCCACGCACGTAATGCTTCAGACACGTCATAGACAATTTTGATTCCCAGCCAAGCTCTGAGCGAGGTGTTAGCGATGGCACGAGCCGAGCGTCTTTCAAGAGTCCAAGGTTTCTGGGTCAGACGCTCCATCACGCAGATATGAAGCTGAATGCACCAGATTTCATGATTCAAAAGGTGTCTGGATATAGTGTACAGCAAGCATGCTGGCGCTTGTCGGAATCATTTTTCCGCTGCACTGATAGATCAATTCTCTGGAATCCGGCTGCCGGGCATGGTGCGAGGAGATGAAGAGCCGATCAGCGATTTCAACCCGCTACGATTCTCGCGACTGCAAATGCAGCAGCTCCCCCGGCGAGCGGCAGAACCACTTACAAGATGGTGATTTCCTGCTGCTTGAAATACCGTCGGTTTTCCTCGTCGATCAAGACCAAGTTCAAATAGTACCTCGTGCTAAACTTTTTGTTGACCTCTCTGAATGTCGGTGTCAGCTCAAATCCACCCAGGAACAGCCGGATTGGGATGGTTTCGCCTGCGGCGCGAAGGGACGAATGAGCAGAGAGAAAGGCATAACATGTGCACTCGAATGGTGGGAGGTAGTACCAACTCACCCCTCACGGGAGCTCCATCCATGATCTCGAACTTTGTGATTGTCTCTGATTCATTGTACTGGTTGGGTGCTGCGGGCAGGGTACAGGCAGATGGGTTAGCAAAGCGTTGGAGAGAGCCTGAGCCCTGATTAAATCACCTGTACCTGTCGTTTCCCTTCTGATGATGCTGAGCTCCATGTGCTTGATCTTGATTCTGACGAGCAAGAAGTAGATTTTGCCGACGATGACATCCTTTAAATGATATCTGCATGCGAAAATGCAGAATTTCAGATTTCCATTGGCATCAACACGGGGGGACTTTGCTCAACTGACTTGCTCTTGTTGTACTCGAACTCGATGTGCAGGCAATCTTCAATCCCCACTTCCATCTTGATGGCATTGTTGCTGTCCGGCGGCATGCGGTACGAATGCACCCACATGTCCTTTTCCTTGGTGATATCCGCCATCCGTCGCGAAACGATGACCCGCAAAAAGTATCTGAGCGAGGTGTGCAGTGCGGACTTGTGCATCAGCTCTTCTACGGAGCCAACAGAGGCTGCCTGTTGGGCGCCAAAGATGAATGGAACCTGCCTCGCCCACATGCTGAGCAGCGAGGTGCGCACTCGCCAGCTCGCTCCTTGCACCTAATCTCTGCCGTCCATTCGTAGCTGCGAGTCGCGGATCTCCTCTCGACGTCTCACCTTAACTTGACATTGATGCCGACGTAGCTTTCATACTGTTTTTCCACATTCTTAAAGTCGAAATCGAATGACTGGGCGTTGCGAATTTCGCCTGGGCTGGCCAGTTCTTGCGTGAGCGCGAGAAATTCGTAGTGATTGCCTCGATCGTAGAACAGCTCTGAAAAGGCAAGCAAGATAATGGGATTGTCAGGCATGTTGACACGCAACGTGATCGCGGAGCGGCGGCATGACCCCCGAGATACAGTGCACGAGCAAAGCTGGGCGCTACGAGACAAACAACCGGGACTCGCACGATGGCAATCGAGTTCAAGGTTCTCAAACCATAAACATCGGTCGCTCAGCAGTTTCTTGGCCCATCCATTGCAACGCTCCCACTGCACTCACCGATACTGCCTATGAATTCGATCTTGATGCCCTCGTGAGCGAGCCGCTTGCCATCCCTTACCCTCACGTGCACGGTGCCCCTCACAGGTTCGCCATCCAGATACACGGGACACCTCTCCCTCCTATCCTTGTCCAGCCTGACATCCACCTGCTTGTGAGACTCTTCCCCTTCCAGCCGCACATCGATGTCCGTTGGTGTGCTAAACGATAGCCAGGACGCCATGTCGGGAAGCACTCCACGAGGCTGACGACTGTTCTGCTAAAGAAAGCGGGATGGCACTCGTGCTGCTGCTATGATCGCGCTTCGATCAGCGGACCAGAGCCTGGCCTCCCGTGGCTCGGACAGAGCTGAATGACGAAGATTTGACACGTGAGTTGCGGTGTTGACACAGGGTGCTTGGCTCGTGCTGGCCCTAGGTGCAGACGTGTGGCCGTTCGTGCTTGCTCGTGGGTGCTCTTCGTGATCGGAAGGATGGGACGTCTCCCTGTGTGTATGCATTGACACGCCCGAGACCCATGATGCACCCCGTCCGTCCGCGACCGTGCAACATCATCGCTGCTGTCCGTGCACGCCCAAAGACATGTCACGTGGTTTGGCACACCGCAAATCTTCCCAAGTCGACTGTCGGTCATCAATCAAGAATCAAACGTGGATCTGCTTCCATCCGCGGAGCCTCCATTTTCGGTTCCTCCATCCCGACTCTGGGCCTTTTCTCACTGGAATAATTGCGCCAGCGGTGTCGATCCTGGGAACACGTCCGGCTCCTGAGGACTCTCTGATCGCCAGCGCCTGTAGCCTCGAAGAGCGCTTTCGATCGCAGCGCCTCGACGGTGAGGGAAGGCGAGAAGTTGCTGCGTCTGTCATGGTCCTGGTGCATCGGCTTGAACCAACGAACTTCCCAGCCGCCTCTCAAGCTCACGTATAATTTCAAGCACTGTGCCATTGCGAAGAGCGCAGAACGCACCAGCCCGCCCTTCGCTACGCATACAGCGACGTTCATACCCAGCGGCTGGAGAGGAACGACTGCAGGCAACCAAACTGCGCCAGCAATGCGCTCATCACACTATCTGCTCAGCCTACCGCACGCTTCTCGCATGGAGAGCGAAAAGCACCTCCGCGTGCAGCTCACCACGTTGACATCGAGCAGCACGCTTTCGGAGGGCAAGACTGATGCTGCTCCATCCAGCATGAGTGACCGTAAAAGGCGAATGACGCTGCTCATACACGTATCTGCTGCAAGCTGGAACGCCGTCGAAGCTCTCAATTCTTCATTGACGCCGCTAGTAGCACCACCTCAGGCCACAGCTCCACACCCTGAGCGTCAGAGCTCAGCACCGCAAGAGCAGAGTCAAGAAGATCGACTGCAGGCCGCATTTGACGCTTCGATGGAGGGAGACCTGGACGCCGCGCTCAGGACAGCTGCACGGGGATCCAGTGGCCAAGATCCAATGTTGGAGGAAGTCGGTGGCGCCGGCGCGGATACTGCTCGCGCTCTGAGCAATATCGGGAATGTCTCTCTGGGCCAAGGGAGCATACAATCGACCGGCGGATCTCTCGCTGCTGATTGGGCTCTCGCAATGAGTCGCGGAAAGGTGCGTTTTAAGATTGTAGAGATTTTCTGCGGAGCTGCGGAGGCGAAGAGTGCTAGCAGAGGCGACTCTACATTTGCCAAGCACCCATGTTCCCTCATCCTCCCGCTCTCTTGCGCCAGATCCTGACCTCTTGTTGAATGATCCTCTCGCGACTCGCAGGGTCGCGAAGCCGTGGGCACCAGTCTATACAGCTCTGAGATGGATCTGGCTCTACCCATTGCGAAGCGTTTGGGTACGTGTCCCTCTCGACGAAAGCCACGTGGCAATGGAAGCGAGCCTTGTGCAGGGTGTTAGCAACAGACTCACCTCTTTCATCATCACCCTTCATCCTTGCGCGCCCTAAGCGTCCGTGCTGGACTTGCCTCAGGTCCTTCTTTCCGTCAGCCCCTGCGCGGTGCAAGCCGGTGGACTTGACTCTTCAGCTACAACAAGCGCTGATGAAGCGGGAGCGGCTCATATCGCTTTTCAACGTGGCTTGCTTGGACTGGCCAGGCAAGAGCTGGCCGACCTCGAGGCCTGAATAGCGAACAGTGCAGGATGAAGTCTTCACGTGGAGGCCTTTACCGCACGGGTCAGAAATGCCCAAGCCGTTCATGAGTCTCGGTTCAACAACAACAAGAGCGAGTACAACCCAACCCTGCCGCTCTCGGAATCCTGTACACTCGCGCACGGCCCAGCAAAGGAGCGACGGCGCGACCGACCCTGGCGACCCTCCAGACCATGGTTAACGAGCCGCTGCACCATTTCGCCGCTCGTACCACCGCGAGGCGAGAGGCCACCTTTGAACCTCGCAACGTTCACACGTCTACTCCGCACCCTCGCGATAGCCAGGGCATCCGCGCCACCATCCACTGCTTCCCTTCTCCGCCGCACATCGGGATCCGAATCTAAGCGGAGCTTGCTCAACCCAAGGGGCGGGACTTTTGACGATGCGACGATGCGGCAGCAAGACGCTTTTGAGCTTTCACACTTCGTTGCCTGAATTCCATCGATGACAACAAGTCGTGCATCGGCTTCCTCTTGTTGGGGACAGGTGAAGCTGGCTTTGATCGGGACGTTGAGATTTGGACAGGGGACGTGGAGGCGAGAGTTGCGCAAAAACCATTACCTTGTGTCAGCATCATTTGGCGTGGCGTACGAGTGGCTTAACGCTGTCGCCGGGCTCCTTATTGGAATGAAGGAAAGGAAATTAGAGGGAGCACAACCTACCCTTGTCGACTTTAGCTGTGGTATTGGCCGCGTACCACTTCGAGCTTTCAATGGCGACGTGCGGAGTCCCGACTCTTCGAATCCCCGGCGTCGGTAGAGTTATTGGAGTGTTTCGAAGTGGATTCCTGAGAGCGCCTCCTACAATCTCCTACAATCTAGACTCTCCAACGGCATCCTGCTGGTGTGCGCGTCCCTGTCCACTCGAAGATCGGACGTCGATGCGCGCCACTCCGAGTACTTTTAAGGCAAGAACCTCCGGACGGGTCGGACTTGGATCGCTGCGGCTTGACCTTGATCGAATGCGAGTTGACTTCATTTGCCGCACAGGCCAATATCGAGCCCAGGAAAGCTTCCGTTGAGACCCAAGCTTACCGAATGACGAAGGCTTCGTGAAGCTCGTCGCACAGAAGAGCCCCGTGGAGTCTGCTAGATGATTACCACAATCCGCTTGAACGTTTGTCAGCTTGATGCCGATCTGGCCTTAAAGCAGGTCCGGACCAGCGAAGCGAGACTGCAGTAGCTTTCCTTACTTCCTTCACCGCAAAGGCTGTGATCAAGATTGCGTTGGATTACACAGCATTGCGAGATACTCAAAAGCTACAAAATCAGTAGCTCGAACGTGTGACCATTACAACATGCTCAACTGAGTTTGGATTGGGTCAGATCGCCCGATCTCGCCTTTTCCCCCTTGCAGGCGTGCCAGGATACAGTTGCTCACCCGCTGCGTGTCACGTCACGATCTGACGTTCTCAAGCCACCACTCCCGTACGACAGGGGGATCCCGTGTCAAGCCATGGCTTTGCGGGAATGCTGCTCACTGCACTAAATGATGAGCGATGGCTGTCATCGTCACATACCTTTCCGTGCTTGCGCCCGGGGTTGGCACAGTCTCGCGATGAACACGTCACTTCTAATGGGTGAAGCCGGCCGACTACTTGAGCTCGGGCGATGAAATCAACAATCGGCTTCGCACTTGCTGATTAGGCATGCGACCTGGCAATCCACACCGAGCACCCTTAGCAGCTCGCCTAGACGCCCGCAGCTGCTCTTCAGTGTTCGAAGAATTGAGATGGAACCTCGAGCACTACTTGACGCGGTTCTTTCGTGTCCCCGTGAATTCTCCGCGTGCGAATAATGGTTGCGATGACACGGACACGCCACTCAATCTTGAATTAAGAACGCAGTCACCCGTGGCGTGGCGTGGGAAGGGTGGAATGGGTACAAGATCGTGAGCCAGTGATGAGCTCGTGGCGCCAGGGTCATGCCCCTCCAGGGACACGATTAGCTCTGTTCCGTGTGATTAAGTGGCCAGCCTGTTTGGCATGCTTTTGCGCTGCTCGCTTGCCCCTAGATACCGCAAAGGAGCCTGAGGAGTGCCCTGACGTGAGTCTCCTGTCGGTTGTTCGACGTCATTGCTGTGAGGCAATCTTCTGCCGTGCTCAATTTAGGGTTGAAATTGAGTTGCGAGAACGGCGCGGTGCGCCTGCACGCGATGATACCCCACAGCGCTGGCGTGAGTCACGGCGGCACTGTGCAGAGCCAGGCCGCTTGTGGGAAGCCCCATCCAAGCCGAAGGCCGCCTGTGCTGCCGGTCGACAAATTTGCCGCAGCATGTTTGCGACAGGCGACTTGGAAGGGATTTCAGAGTCGGACGTCGCGCGGTCCTGCTGTATGACGTTCAAGGACCGTGATGGATGAACGCCCTCAACGTTGGATGACGCGAATTCTCCTCTGAGCGCTTGTCGTTTAGTGCTGCCCCTCTTGCCAGCAAGCGATTTGGCTGCGCTTGGAGCCTCGGCGACTAGCCGGGAGCGCAAGGCACCACCGGGCTCCGTCTCGCCTTGGCGCCATCCTAAGCTTCGCGAGCATGACGTCCCTTCCTGCAGCCACCTAAGCGAGGCCGGCCGTTGTTGCACACGCGCTACGCAAGGGTGCTCGGCTGAGGATCCTGGACGTGTGAGGCCCGAAGGTGACCTGCTACAAATCACAATGCATTCAGTGGCCCTTCAAGGTCGCGCAGATCTTGGCCGCTTCCGGCGGGCGGTAATGGCACGGTGGGCGTGGTCACGAGCGTACAACACAAGTCTTACGTGAGACAGCTAGCCTTGCAACGCGAAGAAGCACCGTACGGATCGCAGTCCTGAGTGAGCCGCATGCCTGGGCGGGCTCTGCTTGCAAAGAGGATACATCGCTTCACGTCTCGGCAGAGGAACGGTGCGGTCTCCTGGATGGGATTGGATTTCTTCGCTACCTGTCCATTCAAAAATTGATGTCATGTCGAGCTGGCCATCGACGTGACTATAGCGAATAGCGAGCACGACCCACGCTGTCGATGCCAAGTGTGCAGCCAAGAGCAGAAATTCGAAGACTCGTTGTTGTGCCTTGACTCAACCCGTCTTCGCGCACTCATTTGAGCCAAGAAGCTGACGCAGGGGGTGCCGTCCGGGCTTGGCGTCACCCACTGAGCTCTTCACACCTCGTCCCAGGCTTTGGTCTCCGAGGCGGTCAGCATCTGACAGTACCAATGGACGGTCGTCCACGTGTCCAATATGAATCATGAGACGTGTGTGCCGACCTCACTCGCGACCTGCCCCGATGCAAGCAGAGATCCTTGGTTCAAGAAATCTTCAATGTAATGACAACACTTGCGCAGACGGTCCGCCACCTCTAGCGGAGTTCCAATTCAACGCCGGTCCGCTGAATGGATCTTCCTCGTTTCCCTACTCTTGGTACTGCGCAGCATCTGAGACGCCTCCAGCAATTCGGGCAAATACGAAAGCTTCATTCATGCTAAATCCAAGTCGGCGCTGGAAGAGCACCTAGATACCGAGATCTGTCGCCAAGACGCTGCGGTTTTCGAGGCCCTTTGACTGAGGCCGAAGACCACCCCTATTTTACAGCGGGGGTGCGGTGTCACGTGAGATCATCTATCTCACTAGGAAGACTGCTGGGAAAGAGACAGGTCTTAGTGTCAGGTTACATTCAAGTGATCAAAGATGTGATCTGGTCTCTGGGGTTCGCTCTGCGCCGTCGCAGCGTGTCATGGGTGAAACCTTAGTTTCTGCCTTGAGACTCATCTTGCGCCGCAAGTCTGGCTCGCCGCACCTCCAAGGACGTCTCCAAAGCAAGGTTCCATTCACATTCGAATGTCAACAATTGAGCGGGCGCTGTACTGGCAGCTGATATGCTCTTGACTAGTGCAATCTTCGTTCGGCTGGAGACGGTGTCGTCGAGCCTGATGAATTCTGCGCGTCTTACGTTTGCAGCTTCTGAGTCCGCGTGACGGCCGGCGTCTTTGCCTGGGTGTGCAACGCAGGTTGGAAGCGTGTTCTCATTTGGTCTTCCGCCCATCGGATCTCCAATTGGTGAATCAGAATCGAAAAGATGGAATGAAGATCTAGACCAAGGCAACTCGTGACTGCGCTTGAGAACGTTCGCATCGTTACCTGCGTGGCCGAGAACCAGGATCGGATCGGAGCTGCAAAAGTCGTGAATCAATTGAGTCAGAATCAAGTGGCTGCGAGTCTTGAGTCATGAATGTGTCCGCACCCACGTGAGCCCCGTCACGAACACACTTCTTGGGCGGTCGATCGATTGGAATACATCAGCGGAGGCTGTTCGCTGTGACTGTACACTGCGATCTTCGTGGCTTCATCGGCAATTTGATTTCAAATCCAAGAAGCTGGGCCCGCGCAACTCCTTGCAGAAAGAGCTGTTCCCTTGCAGCGTTCTAAGACAAAGGCTTGCAGTTGCGCGGCCATGTGCAGTGAGATCTCTACAGCATCTACGCAGGCACTGTACCTTGTACAGCACACGCAGCATCATATGCACTCCCTCGGGGCCGCACACCCGCGCGTGAGTTACGCCGCGAACGACGCGTCACGTCAGCGTCAGACGTCAAGAGAGAGGCGCGGGAGCTTGGCAGTCGTAAGGGGGAGCAACAATCAAAAGTCACGAGCTTACGGTGATCAAGGCAGCAGGCCTGCCCGTACCCTTCACACGAGGAAAGAAGGAGTCGAATCGAAACGCTTGACCTTGCTTGAAGCAATTGGGCGCTCCCAACGCTCGAGAGGGTGAAAGCTCAGGTGATGATACCATTCACACTCCATCGCTTAGTCAAACGCGGTATGCCTTGAACCGGCAGAGGTGAGGTCGCCAAAGTTTTCATTGCTTGTGTGCATCTCCGAACCCCCACTCGAGCTGGGTTCAGTGCAATGGCACCTGAAGTTGTGTGGTACTTGTGCTGCCACTACTACTACTGTTGTTCACTGACTACCGATGTGAATTAAGCGTGTGAGCTGCTCTGCGGACGACGACGAATGTCCGGTGGCTGTATCGATTGCGCTCTCCAAATGCTGGCGGCGTCTTGCTGATCGTTGGACCGCTTTCGATCTGGATCGACGCCGCCCGCGGCCGCAAGATCATGCTGGTGTCACCTTGTGCTTGCATCTTGCAAACGGCGTCCTGCACCGGTGCATGCAGACAGGCTCTCGCTGCGACATTGATGCTCAGCTTGGCGTGCCGCTGATCGTACAGCACAGTCAGAGTCGCAGTGGCAGTCACAGTCACGCGCAGTCTGACATCGGCGCGATTGGAAAAACAGGCGCTGATCGTCGAGGTGCAGGGCAAGGCTTACGCGACGAAGAAGGACGATCGCGAGCTCTTTTCCGTCACAAACGGTGGCAGCAAAGCTCTCGCAAGTCAAGAGCCCTGTCATACCATCCCCTAGTCGCTAGTCTGTGGCCGTTGTGTCTGGCGCGGGCCTCCCACTTACTCTCGTGACTTACCGCTGACTTCCTGATCGCGCCCGACTTGCACGCCGTAAGCGCAATCTGCGTAGTAGGATTCAATCTGCAACGCTTGTGCGAGCCACAAGTGTGTGTGCGCAAAGGGCTGTTGTTGGCTGATGCTAGCGCTGCTGAGGAGGCTACTCTGACTCACGTCTTGCTACTGCACCGATCTCGATTGACGACTTTTATGAGGGTTTGAATGCACCGCTCGCCACTGTGACAGCTCGGCTAGCAAGACGGCGGCTCGACTATTTGCGGCCCATGTCTAGCCAGGCGGAGGGCCAAAACCATGGCAGACACCCATTCACCCTCGTGAGTATTCAGTCAAGCAGCTGGCTGGCTTAACTGCGTGCGGTGCATGCTGGACTTGCCGTTTGCGATGCGCTGCGGTTGATGCTGCCACTCTTGACGATGCACTTACTATATACGGTGTGAGTACGAGCAAGGCGCGGCTCAAGGCCTCTGCGCTCCGCTCCGGCACTTGCTCTGACCGCGTGCGCTCATCTCGCGGGCGGACACGCGCGGTTCGCACATCATCAGCTGCAGTCCCAAGTCACTTGTCATTTGTGATTGCTATATGCATGCACCTGAACAGTAGCTCGCCAGCTGCTGATGCCTACGTCTCTAGGCATCGCTGCCGCGGTGCTCAAGCGCGCTGCACTTGCCTGTAAGAGCTCCGCGCAATCGTGTGCCTTGACCAGAAACCGGAGCCACCGCGCTACACACAAATGTGAACAGCGAGGGCTTGCGCGGGCTCATGCTGCACCCTGCA